CTTATTGCCCCATTCACAGTGTCCCTTAAGTAGTTGTATTCCTATCGTCCAAAGCTTTCTTATTATTGCCACTACCTACACAGACACAGACAGTTTGCAATGTAAAAGTAATATAGTTCTGTCATCTACCTTTGTATTTCCCCAGCCTCCTCCGCAGAAATTGGGGAGAAATACGCAATATAGTGAGAGTTAGAAGTTCGTAGAGATTTTATTTCCTTACTGCACAATTATTCCTCAGGATTCCTTGTTATCCCCATCTTTTCTTTATAAAGTATTACACAATTCTGCTGTGTTGCCTGTGGAGAAGGCTAGTATTTCCCTACAGGGCAAGCTTACTACATTCACTCACCAAATCTGCAATGGTTTCTTCGTTTTTAGCCACACATTCTGTTTGTGGTGACGGTGAACTAAATCGTGTATAGTGTATACCTATGGCACACAGGCTGTAATAGACTGCAAGCAGGCCCTCTTTTCTGTGGGTGTAGACACAGGCTTACCATGCTAATACTAAGTCACATGCACATATTATATATATATACAGCATATGAAACTTGAATCTGATTAAGATATAGATCAAATGTCTACTAAATGATTCGTGAAACGTACATTTAAAGTTCCAGTTTGCTCATTTCCAGGATACGATATGTATATGGAACAAGATTTGGGAAAAGTCCCGTAAAATACTCTACAACACCATCCGGACTCTCCAAGTAAATTTTCCGCAGCTCCATGACCCTGATCTGCTCAAAATGCTCGATTTTATTTCGAATTACCTGTAAAAGACTGCATATTTTGTCTCCGTCGTAGTTCTTCACATCACTTCGAGCAACTGGGTGTAGTCTATCCAACCAATTTCCATCAAAAACTACGCTTGCATCTTCTTCCAACTTGTCCTTAAAACTAATTACATTTGGGTTTTCTTTATCCTTAACATAATTACCAAGCCTGGTAAAAAAGTTCCGCATTTTCATTCTGCTCCAAAGGAAAGGATGTTCCTTGATTTTCTGAGATTGTATCCGATCCTCAGCATTTGAACAGATCATCCTACGTATAAGATCTTCTGCCATGGAAGCTTCATGCTCACTGTGGTGTTCATAAAAGTGGGTTTGCGGGTTTTTTTGTGGGTTTTTTGTTTGTTTTTTTAGTTCAGCAAAGGTGGGTTTGTACTCTGGTGACATAATATTGTCTTGACATTTTTTGAGATGTAAAATTTCTCCGAAAGGATGTCCCCCTGTCAAAATAAAATAAAACACACAACTAAGAGAAAAAATATCTACAGCAGTTGACCGTGTTTCTTGGCCCCACAGTTCAGGAGCACTCCAACCTTCAGTACCACGCTTGGATTTATGCGAGGACGATTCCTCGCTTAGTTTACTCAAATCGAAGTCTGAAAGAATAAGGGCAATTCCGCCGTCTGTATTCTTCCAAAGGATATTTCGTGGTTTAATATCGCGATGCTGAATATTTTTGTCATGAAGGAAACAAACTGCCGATGTCAGTTGTAAAATGCAATTCAGTGGGTCATCAATAACAGCTGTTATTAGGTTACCCTCACAGAGTTCAAGGGCTAGGTATGTAAGATTTGAATCATGCTCCACACATAGATACCGAATAATATTAGGATGTGGTCGGGCTTCTTTTGCCAAATGGAGAAAGATTCTCAATTCCTCACGGACTTCTACCTTATGACAGAACTTAATGGCTGCTTCTTGCCCATCTTTCAATCCCCCCTTGTAAGCAGTTTTATGCTGATCAAGACGGCATTTAGTGTCGTACCAAATTTGTCCAATCAGCTTAATATGCTCTGAATAAAAATGATCTATTATTTGCCGAATTTCATTTTTCTCTTCGGCTTTTTTGACCTTTCCAGCCGTTTCTTTGTCAACTATTTCTCTTTCGGATAGAGATTCCTTTGCTTTGCCAACTTCTTTTCTTTCGAATGGAGATGCCTTAAGATCACAGTATGTGGCCACTATAATATCCATTATAATACCCACTATAATACTCAAGAACAACTTAAGGTAAAAGTACTGTTCTGTGATGTAGCAATGTGAGAATGTATCTGAGTTCAGGTCTTCCAGTAAAGTTCCGCAGAGCCGCTGAGGTTCGAAACATTTAGCCGGAGATCCATTGAGCAATGGCCGATTTAATTTAAGTATGTCCTTCATTTCACAAGAGCAATTCCAAGGGTTGCCTGTTAAATCAAGTTCTTCTAAGGACGACAGCTGCTGTGAAATATTATCCCAGGGTAAAGTTTTCAGATAGTTATACGAAAGATCCAGAACCTTGAGTCTTGGGACGTGGTAAAATGTACCAAGGTCTACTTCCGTCAGCTTGTTGTGGGATATATTAATCAGCCGGACTTGATTTGATTCCCTAAATTCAAGTCTTTCTATTTTTTGAATAGAGTTATTAGCTAACGAGATAGTCCTGATGTTTTGTAAAGGAATAAACGCGAGTTTATGTATATGTTTGATTATGTTTTCACTCAAGTCAAGATGATGCAATCCTTGCACGGTGTTTGCTGTGAACGTATGCTCAGATATGTATCCAATGTGGCATTCCCGAAGTACCAAACTTGTTAAATTTGGTCCAAGTATGTTGTCTCTGTCAAATGATTCCCTATTCAACGTGTCAATTAAGAAATTAGTAACTAGTAAATCAGTAGTGTTAAATGGGAGAGACTTTAGTATGTTTCTGGTGTGATAACGTAGCTTCATGCTAGTGCAATTCACAGTAAAACGATCACCTCTTTGCGTTACATTGTTCGAGCTCCAACTGTAACATTGACATTCCTTTGGACAAGGAACGTTTTCGATATCCTCGTATGAACAATGGTATGAACCAGAATTATACCGCTGATCACACGAAATCCGTTTTATAAATATTATCGAGATAATAGACAAGCTCCATACCGCCCGAGTAGATCTAAACATCGCCATATTGTGTAGAAAATGCGTCCTTTCGAGTCGTGTTTTTGAACCAAGAACTGGATCCCAATCGCTGCTAATCTTGTTGCTGTTGTTAGAGACCTTAAGATGTAGAACGGCAAAGCGAAGACGACGACCAAAATAAATTCATTCAAATAAATGATTGTAAAGAAAGCTTATCGTATATTATCAATCGTATGAATTTAAAACAGCTTGAAGAGGTCAAAACAGAGGTTTTCTATTGAGTAGAATTCCACATTGATACTGAAGCAATTTTGCTGAGTATCCACTTCTTACGTGCTAAAATGCAAACGTTGTACACAGACCGTTTCCGTGGACGCTTACATGCTAAAATGCAAACGTTGTAAACAGACCGTTCCCGTGGACGACGCATAAATTTCCCGTGAATTTTAATTATTCATTTCTTTTCTTAAGTATTAGTTTCATTGTGACGCTCTTCGAAAAGGTTCCTTCATTTGACAGGATGATTTTAAACGATATTCCTCATCGACTGACGTAGCCTGACGGTGTCCAATTTTTTATTTTCGATTTAGGGACAACGTGTACAAGCCATTCTTTTCCTTACGCGTAGAATAATAATATGCACATCATTAATATTCACAGACAAATCTCAACCACAAAAACAGCCATGGACCAGCGACTAACATTAAATTGTAATTAAATAAATGACTCGCAATCTCTGTTCAATTATCGTTTTGGCGATTTGTTTGAAGATTTCCAGACGAAAAAGGCAAAATATTCACAGGCCGAACAGCCTAAGATTTGTGTAATCATAAGTAAATATTTACTGTAATAGTTTTGTTTGTGGAAACACCACGTAAATTTATTACTGCAAAGCTTTCGATCCGTAAGCCCGGATCTTCATGAAGTTCCGGGCTTACGGATAGAAAGCTTTGCAGTAATAAATTTACGTGGTGTTTCCACAAACAAAACTATTATATGTTTTATCGCCATGCAGACGTACAAAGAAAATTTTTAATAATAATATTTAAGTGAAAATAATTAGACACGAAACCAAAAGAAAGGATGTTCCCTGATTTTGTGAGATTGTATCCGATCTGCAGCATTTGAACAGATCATCCTACGTATAAGATCTTCTACCATGGAAGCTTCATGCTCACTGTGGTGTTCATATAGTTCAGCTAAGGTGGGTTTGTACTCTGGTGACATGATATTGTCTTGACATTCTTTGAGATCTGAAATTGCTCCGAAAGGATGTCCCCTTGTCAAAATAAAATGAAACACACAACCAAGAGAAAAAATATCTACAGCAGTTGACCGTGTTTCTTGGCCCCACAGTTCAGGAGCACTCCAACCTCTAGTTCCGCACTTGACTTTATGCGACGACGGTTCCTCGCCTAATTTACTCAAGTCGAAGTCCGAAAGAATAAATGCAATTCCATCGACTGTTTTCTTCCAAAGGATATTTTGTGGTTTAATATCGCGATGCTGAATATTTTTGTCATGGAGGAAACAAACTGCCGATGTCAGCTGTGAAATGCAATTCAGTGGGTCATCAATAACAGCTGTCATTAGGTTACCCTCGCAGAGTTCAAGGGCTAGGTATGTGAAGTTTGAATCATGCTCCACATATAGATACTGAATAATATTAGGATGTGGTCGGGCTTGTCTTTTCAAAAGGAGAAAGATTTCCAATTCCTTGCGGATTTCTACCTTATGATGTTTCTTAATTGCTGCTTTTCGTCCATCTTTCAATCCTCCCTTGTAAACATTTTCACTCTGATCAAGAGGGTCGTCAAGGTTGTACGAAATTTGTCCAACGATCCTACGTCTACGTTTCTTAATTAAAAATGATAATAATAAGTCTAATAATGATATTAATGTTGGAAATGCCGCCGCAATCCGTTCACAAATATAACGAATATAATACACTAAGAATAAATACATTGCCAATAAATACATTGAGAATAAACTTGTAATGCAAAGCAGCACTGTCAATAGCATGGTATGTGTAATCTCAAAATACTTTTCCGTGATGTAGCATTCTGAGAATGTATCTGAGTTCAGGTCTTCCAGTAAAATTCCGTAGAGCCGTAGAGGATCGAAACATTTAGCCCGAGATTCATTGAGTAATGACCGATTTAATTTAAGTACGTCCTTCATTTCGCAAGAGCAATTCCAAGGGTTGCCTGTTAAATCAAGTACCTCTAAGGACGGCAGCTGCTGTGAAATATTATCCCAGGGTAAAGTTTTGAGATTGTTATACGAAAGATCCAGAACCTTGAGTCTTGGGACGTGGTAAAATGTACCAGGGTTTACTTCCGTCAGCATGTTATGGGATATATTAATCAGCTTGACTTGATTTGATTTCTTAAATTCAAGTCTTTCAATTTTTTGAATGGAATTATTAGCTAACGAGATAGTCCTGATGTTTTGTAAAGGAATAAACGCGAGTTTATGTATATGTTTGATTATGTTTTCACTCAAGTCAAGATGATGCAATCCTTGCACGGTGTTTGCTGTGAACGTATGCTCAGATATGTATCCAATGTGGCATTCCCGAAGTACCAAACTTGTTAAATTTGGTCCAAGTATGTTGTCTCTGTCAAATGATTCCCTATTCAACGTGTCAATTAAGAAATTACTAACTAGTAAATCAGTAGTGTTAAATGGGAGAGACTTTAATATGTTTCTGCTGTGATAACGTAGCTCCATGCTAGTGCAATTCACAATAAAACGATCACCTCTTTGCGTTACATTGTTCGAGCTCCAACTGTAACATTGACATTCCTTTGGACAAGGAACGTTTTCGATATCCTCGTATGAACAATGGTATGAACCAGAATTATACCGCTGATCACACGAAATCCGTTTTATAAATATTATCGAGATAATAGACAAGCTCCATACCGCCCGAGTAGATCTAAACATCGCCATATTGTGTAGAAAATGCGTCCTTTCGAGTCGTGTTTTTGAACCAAGAACTGGATCCCAATCGCTGCTAATCTTGTTGCTGTTGTTAGAGACCTTAAGATGTAGAACGGCAAAGCGAAGACGACGACCAAAATAAATTCATTCAAATAAATGATTGTAAAGAAAGCTTATCGTATATTATCAATCGTATGAATTTAACAAAGCTTGAAGAGATCAAAACAGAGGCTTTCTATTGAGTAGAATTCCACATTGATACTGAAGCAATTTGCTGAGTATCCACTTCTTACGTGCTAAAATGCAAACGTTGTACACAGACCGTTTCCGTGGACGACGCATAAATTTCCCGTGAATTTTAATTATTCATTTCATTTCTTAAATATTAGTTTCATTGTGACGCTCTTCGAAAAGGTTCCTTCATTTGACAGGATGATTTTAAACGATATTCCTCATCGACTGACGTAGCCTGACGGTGTCCAATTTTTTATTTTCGATTTAGGGACAACGTGTACAAGCCATTCTTTTCCTTACGCGTAGAATAATAATATGCACACATTAATATTCACAGACAACCTGCGACTAACATTAAATTTTAATTAAATAAATGACTCGCAATCTCTCTTCAACAATTGTTTTGGCGACTTGTTTGAAGATTTCGAGACGAAGAAGGCAAAATATTCAGAGGAAGAACAGGCCGAACAGCCTAAGATTTGTGTAATCATAAGTAAATATTTACTATAATAGTTTTGTTTGTGGAAACACCACGTAAATTTATTACTGCAAAGCTTTCGATCCGTAAGCCCGGATCTTCACGAAGATCCGGGCTTACGGATCGAAAGCTTTGCAGTAATAAATTTATACGTGGTGTTTCTACAAACAAAACTATTATATGTTTTATCACCATGCAGACGTACAAAGAAAATATTTAATAATAATATTTAAGTGAAAATAATTAGAAATTAAAATATCATACTGCTAAACGTTACTAGCAACTTTAATTATTTGTTAATTCGCAATTTGGAACTTTTAACTTGCACGACATACCAACTCGGCCAGTATCTCTGTTCCTGGTCCAGTAGTACGATTGTACTTGTTAGGAGATATATTCGTCTGATGACACCGCAACTATACGCCCTTTTAATTTTAATAATACAACTGTTTCTGCTTATACCTGTTAGGTTTTGAAAGACAACAAAAATTAAATTAGATTGTATGAAAGGCAGTGCGCTCAATAAATTGTTAGCTAGTTTTGAAATTGAACACAAAATAGAGTGTGGGACTCGTGCAGCTATCATTTAAGAGCAGGTTTAATTTAAAGACGGACAATATTTTTTATATAAGGTTATTTTTGAAACTGTACGAGAAAGTCTTATTAAAAGGTTCTATTAACACAGCATGCATTCTATTTCGGTGGACGCAATATTGCAATAGTTCCGTTATACGAGGTATTAATTGAAGAATTAAAAAATGAAATGCGCTCAAAAAACAAATATATACACAGACTTCAATTATCTCATGAGTCATGATTTAAACCAACCTCGTACCCAGGTCCTCAATCTTCGCTCCTACCTCGCTTGAATTGAGACCTTTTGAGACCCTGGTATCGGCTGGTCACGTGACCCGTCATATTTTGACGGATTTGCTCAATTGTTTTAGGGAAAGTATAGTAAGTAGATATTGTAGTAAACATTAATATTGTTTTTAAAAAATAACATTACAAAACAAAACATCTCAGTTACTATCCTTTCCCTAACAACAATTGAGCAAATCCGCCAAAATATGACGGGTCACGTGACCAGCCGATACCAGGGTCTCAATTCAAGCGAGGTATGAGCGAAGATCGAGAACCTGGGTATGAGGTTGGATTTAAGCTAGGATTGAATTAGGATTAATGTTTGGATTAGGATTAACGCACTCGGGTTATTGAGAAATGCTGGTGTCGACGTACGAAATATACATGTAATATAGTTCCGAAATAGGGATACAACTACCTGAAGAATACACTGTTCTCCTTGTATTTTTCATTTAGTTGTATCCCTATCAGTCGGAAGCTTTCTTATTATTGCCACTACCTACACTGACACAGACAGTTCAAAAGTAATATAGTTCTGTCTACTTTTGTATTTCCCTAGCATCCTCCGCAGAAATTGCGGAGAAATTGCGCAATATATTGTGAGAGTTAGAAGTTCGGAGAGATTCTATTTCCTTACTGCACAATTATTCCTCAGGATCCCATGTTACCCCCATCTTTTCTTTATAAAGTATTGCGCAATTCTGCTGTGTTGCCTGCGGAGTCAGCGGAGGAGGCTAGTATTTCCCTACAGGGCAAGCTTACTACATTCACTCACCAAATCTGCAATGGTTTCTTCGTTTTAGCCACAAACTCTGTTTGTGGTAACGGGAGCATGCTAATACTAGGTGACATGGCACATATTATTGAGATATAGATCAAATGTCGACTAAATGATTCGTTAAACGTACATTAAAGTTCCAGTTCGCTCCTTTCCAGAATACGATATGTATACGGAACAAGCTTTGGGAAAAGTTTCATATAATACTCTACAACACCATCCGGACTCCCCAAGTAAATTTCCCGCAGCTTCATCTTCCTGATTCCCTCAAAATGCACGATTTTATTTCGAATTACCTTTAAAAGACTACATATTTTGTCTCCTTCGTAGTCCCTTACTTCATGTCGAGCAACTGGGTGTAGTCTATCCAACCAATTTCCATTAAAAACTGCGCTTGCATCTTCTTCCAGCTTTTCCTTAAAACTAGTTACGTTTGGATTGTCTTTATCCTGAACATAATTACCAAGCCTGATAAAAAAGCTCCGCATTTCCATTTTGCTCGAAAAGAAAGGATGTTCCCCGATTTCCTGAGATTGTATCCGATCTGCAGCATTTGAACAGATCATCCTACGTATAAGATCTTCTACCATGGAAGCTTGATGTTCACTGTAGTGTTCATATAGTTCCGCAAAGGTGGGCTCATACTCTGGTGACATAATATTGTCTTGACATTCTTTGGGATTAAAAATTGCTCCGAAAGGATGTCCCCCTGTCAAAATAAAATGAAACACACAACCAAGAGAAAAAATATCTACAGCAGTTGACCGTGTTTCTTGGCCCCACAGTTCAGGAGCACTCCAACCTCTAGTTCCGCACTTGACTTTATGCAACGACGGTTCCTCGCTTAATTTACTCAAATCGAAGTCCGAAATAATAAGTGCAATGCCATTAACTGTTCTCTTCCAGAGAATATTTTGTGGCTTAATATCGCGATGCTCAATATAATTTTCATGAAGGAAACAAATTCCTGACGTTAGCTGTGAAAAGTAATTATGTGGATCCACAATATTATCAAATCCACTAATTTGTTCCATAACAGCAGTCATTAGGTCACCGTCACAAAGTTCAAGGGCTAGGTACATGTATGTAAAGTCTTTATCATGCTCCACACATAGATATCGAACTATATTAGGGTGTGGTCGGGCTTGTTCCGCCAAAAGGAGAAAGATTTCCAATTCCTCACGGACTTCTATCTTACGATGTTTCTTAATGGCTGCTTCTCGTCCATCTCTCAATCCTCCCCTGTAGACATTTCCAAACTGATCAAGAGTCGTTAATGTTGTACCAAATTTGTCCAACGCGTTTATAACCAGATGCTGTGTCCGATACATAATATAAGAACAAACAAGGCAGTATAATGCAAGTCAACAATGTTATAATACTTCCAATATAATAAATGGTGGGTTTTCTGTTCTCATGAATGGTGTGTTTTCTGTTCTCAATGGTGTGTTTTCTGTTCTCAATGGTGGGTTTTCTGTTCTCAATGGTGAGTTTTCTGTTCTCAATGGTGGGCCTGTTCTCAATGGTGGGTTTTCTGTTCTCAATGGTGGGCCTGTTCTCAATGGTGAGTTTTCTGTTCTCAATGGTGGGTTTTCTGTTCTCAAAGTTCTGATTTGTACGTTCTTTGGCAGCGAAGCAATGTGAGAATGTATCCGAATTCAGGTCTTTTAGCAAAATTCCGCTAAGCCATGGAGGGTCGTGACATACCGCCTGACTTCCATTGAGCAATGCGCGATTCAATTTAAGTATATCCTTCATTTCGCAAGAGCATTTCCAAGGGTTGCCTGTTAAATTAAGTACCTCTAAGGACGACAGCTGCTGTGAAATATTATCCCAGGGTAAAGTTTTGAGATTGTTATACGAAAGATCCAGTACCTCGAGTCTTGAGACGTGGTAAAATGTATCAGGGTCTACGTCCGTCAGCTTGTTGTGGGATATATTAATCAGCCGGACTTGATTTGATTTGCTAAATTCAAGACTTTTCAATTCTCGAATATAGTTTTTAGCTATCGAGATAGTCGTGATGTTTTCTAAAATAATAAATGCGTGTCCATATAGATGTCTGATCATGTTTTCACTCAAGTCAATATGACGTAATCCTACCAAGGTATTTGTTATGAAGTTATGAACGTATGAGGAGATAAGTATTCAATGAAGCAATGCCGAAATACCAAACTTATTAAATTTGGTCGAAATATGCTGTGCGAGAAAAATTGCCCCCTATTCAACGTTTCAGTGTAGAAATTAGTAACTAGTAAATCAGTAGTGTTAAATGGGAGAGGGTTTGGCATGTTAATTATGGGAATAAGTAACTCCGTGTTAGTGCAATTCACAGTAAAACGATCATATCTTTGCGTTACATTGTTCGAACTCCAACTGTAACATTGACATTCCTTTGGACAAGAAACGTTCTCGATATCCTTGTATGAACCAGAAAAATACTGCTGATCACACGAAATCCGTTTTATAAATATTATCGAGATAATACACAAACTCCATGCCATCCAAGTAGAACTAAACATAGCCATATTGTGTAGAATATGAGTCCTTTAGAGTCTAACTGTATTTTTAGGAGAGATATATGATATTTGTCTGATGACACCGGAACTACGCTCTTGCAATTTTAATAATACAACTGTTTCTGCTTATACCTGT